TTTGATGAGCTACTCGAAAAATACCATCTCTCGAAAGTATTGAGAATTCTCGGTTATGTTCGACGCTTTGTTTCAAACTGCAAACGCCAAACCGAAGAGAAAGTGACGGGTCCAATTTCTACTGATGAGGTTGAACAGCAGGAACTCTGGTGGATTAGACGAGCACAGCAAGCAGTTCAAGATGATGCCCAATTTCGAACAGATCAATTGCGATTGAACTTGTTGCAGAACGATCAACAAATAGTTGAGTGTCGCGGGCGAATCAGCGGCGAATATCCAATCTATCTGCCCGATAGCCAACCCTTTACATTGAAAGTTGTTCAACAAGCCCACATTTCAACTCTACACGGTGGCGTTGGGCTCACTATGGCAAAGGTGCGTGAACGGTTTTGGGTGCCTCGGCTTCGTCAGTTAGTCAAACGGATTCGGAGGAAATGCAATGGCTGCAAACGATTTCAAGTGAAGGCGTATCATGTACCACCTCCAGGGAAACTGCCGAAAACTCGTACCGAGGGTGACGTGCCATTTCAAGTGATAGGCGTAGACTTCGCCGGGCCGATAAGATATCAACGCGGAAAAAAGACGGAAGGGAAAGCCTACTTAGCCATGTTCGCGTGCAGTCTGACCAGAGCGATTCATCTGGAACTGGTAACGTCATTGGAAACAGAGGAGTTTATCGCCTGTTTAAAGAGATTCATCGCTAGACGTGGCAGACCCAAGGTAGTGTACTCGGATAATGGAGCTACCTTTCAGGCGACAGCTAAATGGTTACAGCGTGTGAGAAAGGACGAACAGTTTCACAGTCTCCTTGCAAGTTTTGGTATCAAATGGCGTTTTAATCTGAGTCGGGCCCCTTGGTGAGGGGGCCAATTCGAGAGACTTATAGGCTTGTTCAAGAATGCGTTCTACAAATCCGTCGGTAACGGAACTCTGAAATGGTCTGAGTTGGAGGATGTCATACTCGACGTAGAAGTAGCGTTAAATAACCGACCTTTAACATATCTCGAGGGCGATATTGAATTACCAGCGCTGACACCTAACTCGTTGCTTCAGGTCAATGCAACGTACGTTCCTGAAGAAGAGGCACATCACATTGCCGAGAAAGATTTGAGAAAACGTGCAAGGTTCCTTCGAAGATGCAAACAAGCAGTATGGGACAGATGGAGTCGTGAATATGTCCGTGGCCTGCGTGAACAACATCGCCAAACTGGAAACAAGAATGCTGTGCATCCGAAGATCGGAGAAGTCGTGATTGTTCGAGAAGAAAACAAACCAAGGAATAAGTGGAGAACTGCTGTTGTGACAAGATTAATTACGGGAAAGGACGGAGTTGTACGGGGAGCAGTGGTGAAAACAGGCAAGGGTACATTAGAGAGAGCAGTCCAACATTTATTTCCCCTTGAATTGTCTTGCGATTTAAACAACAACCCACAACTGAACCCTGATGCCACAGACTTCCACCCAAGACCAAAGAGAGCCGCTGCAGAAGCTGCGAGAGTTGCTATTAGAGAACTTGCCGAGAACGAACAGTCGGACTAGAACGATGCTCAAAGTTGATAGTAAAGTTGGAACTGATGACTATAATTACATTATTTAGTGTTTACATTTGCGTTATAAAGTCTGAGAGTGCATGTATGTCTCGGACAGAATATACATGGGGGAGTGTGTCGGAGACTTTACCTCAGTCTATAGTTAAAATAGTAATAGAACACGTGAACTCCACGCGCGATAGCGTGATACATAGTTTTCCTTTAAATCAGGAATTTTTGTTATTGTGAGAGACTTTGACTGCGAAACCATTGTAAAAAATGTGATACGAGAGTGATTTGAGATATTATATATCAAAAATACAACTAGTGATTTGTTGGTGATACTTAAACCGAAATTCCCAACAGCTGCAAACTAGATTTAATTAACTTAGAAGTTATATTGGCCAACTCTGTGGCACAGTGGCAGTAGATGATCTGGTATGACTGCTGGTGATGAGTGTGCACACACCGCGGGGGTTAGAATAAAACGCGGGGACGGACGGATCGATATCACGTGGGACTAAATTTCTTCGAAAAGTTTCTTAAAATGTTGTGATCAGTTAATTGAGTACTAAAAAGACCTCGGAAAATCGAGTTTCATATTGATGACATGTAGTTTGCAAGATAAAAATTTCGCTTTTTACCCTACTTGTGACGTATGCATATCGAATGCATATCCAAGATGGCGGAATGCACGCTGCTTTTGATTAAAATAAGTCGACTTATTTCGAAAACCAAGCAAGATACGGAATAATTGTAAAGGAAGTTTATATATCATTTTAAATGTTCTTTCAAATAAGACAAGCTTAATTTACATTGCCATATCCCTTTAACTTAAACACAATGAGAGATATCTTGTTCAAGGAAAAAGAACATTCAATGTATTAGTAGAGTTTAAAAAGTTGCCTTTCATGGTAAATTAATGTTATAGTGGATATATATGCAAGCAACGTCTTTATAACCTAAATTAGAAACGTGTCACTGTAGGCCTCATTCGTCAACTGTTGGAGATCGAAAGTGCTTTTGAAAATGCCTATTATTTGAACTCCTTGTTGGAAGGAAACTAGCCTGCTCGCAGACGTTGTTATTCTTAATACGCCAAGCGACGAAAAACTAACGTCTGCTTACTCGAGCTGCACATTCAATTCCCTTTGTTTTAGGAGCCATTCATCTGGCAGGGTTCAAAAGAGTTAGAGCCAATTGGAAGCCGCCTTATTGAGGGATTAGCTACCGGGGAAAGCCCTTGCACATGGGAATATATTGTTTGGGTTGAAATTTGTTTACTTGCGTGGATATATTTTGGAAACTATATAGCGTTGAACTTCACGATGTTTACGTAGAATAATATTGTGATCATCTTCTCGCATGTTCTGCAAACAACCGGTGTATATAAGATGCAAAAGCAATGCAGTAGGCGAAATTCCTACAACCCCAGCAGGGGTTGAATGTCAGTCCATGCATGCATGGTCATAGCCTCCATGCATATTGAATATGTTAGGAAAACGCAACTTCTTTTTCGGGAAACTCGAATGTATCAGGATATGTCCAAATGTTGCTCTTGATACTTCCTATATGCCATGACTTCGACGAAAACTTCTAAAAGATTAAGCTCTCGTTATGTAGAAAAGTATAGCCAAGTTAGAGTATAAACGTTTCGAAGTTTGGGCGAATTGGGAAATTCATCTCGGCGCAATTACAAGTTTGTTGGGTTTGTGTTGTGTTTACAGTTTACATTTAGAAGTGGTTGCTCAAACAGCAAATTATTTTACTTTGAACCTAATATTTCGCGTTCTAAGCCACAGTATTATATAAAATTTTCTGTCTTCCGAGTTCTGTGGTCTTATAAAGATAAACATCCGTCAAAAGTTCAAATTTCAGCGAAATATATTCAGCATTTGATGCTGTCTGGCCTAGATTCATACAGTATAAATATGCCATCCTGTCCGCGTTTTAAATATAACCGAACATCTTCAATATCCAAATCTGATCATTAATGGTGCATTTTATTACCTGGACAAGTATCAATATCTTTAAATTCAATTTATGTGCAATTTTGACCAAAATTCAATCGACGACTGCTTTCAAAATATTTATTTATATTTATTCCGCTCCTAAATCAACTGACGTCACTTTCCAGAATTTGGAAGGTAAATTCTGATTGGTTGACGTAGCGGAATTCAGTTTAGCGCTCGGGTAAGCAGACGTTAGTTTTTCGTCGCTTGGCGTAAGAATAACAACGTCTGCGAGCAGGCTAGAAGGAAACGCACTGCCAAAAATTCATGACCTGCCTTCGACCGAGTCGAATTATAATTCTGCTATCAAGATTTTAGAAGATCGATTTTCAAACCGCAAGCTATGTCTGCACACATGGACGAACTTTTAATATTACAAGTTTGCAACGATCGAGCAAACGCTTTGAGATTATTATACGATAAAGATAGCGTTCATGTCCGCGGTTTACAGTCACTGGGCGTGCAAAGAATCAATTAAATATGAAAACATAATTTGAAGTTGGCATAATATGGTCTAATGATGTTAATAAAATGATTAACAAAACTTTTTAGTCGTAACGAACACAGTGCGAACAAAATGAATTCATCAAACGACTTGAGAAACGTCTTAGTATTTTTTTGCATAATGAAACTTTATATATACATTCACATTTTGTTTAAAATAGCGCCGTCGACACAATACAAGCATAAAAATTTATCCCACAGCCATGCAAGACATAAATATTACTTCTCATCAGGTTTCAGAAATGTCTGTATAAGACGCCGTAAGAAGTTAGGTGCCTGAGCACTTTCAAAGAAGATCTGTTCTTTCAAATATTCAGGAAACGATGAATCCACTGAATCCCAAGTCAAAGGTGTGTACTCCACTTCTGCGAACTCTGAGTCATAGGACAGCAGAAATTGCAACTCTGGAAAAACAACACAAAGAACTAAGCACAGATATTTATTCAGATATAGAATAGATATTTATTCGATCTAATGTCGCCGGGACGTTTAATATATTTACAGAATCTAAGATGTTGAAGACCAACACCGTTAACAGTACATCTGAAATATTTTGTTTACGGGGGTGGATTCTATGCACATTTTATGCACACAGTTTTAGACTGCCTTTTGCGCCGTTGTTTCTTCGAGGTTCTTTTCTATAGAAAATCTTTTCCACAATTTCAACGTTGCGTAGTTCATTCCGATGATCAAATGCCAGGTGGTCAACTTAAATTGGTCCCCACTCCCAATATTTCAGGAAGTATCCGCTACTATTTTCTACAAATTGGGGCCGATATCGCTGCCAATATACTATAATCCTCTTATCGGGTGACTTTTTATTATAATACCATGATTGGACGGGATTCTATTGTTCCAAGCGGGAATTTATAATCTCCAAATTCCCGCGGTCGAGCGGGCTATTTATAAATTTCCCAAACCCTTTTGTCTCCCTGACGACTACGCATTAGGCAAGTGCCGCACGCATATAATAATCGTGCAAGGAACAGCAACAGTTAGCTCAGGTCCGTCAATATCCCATCATCCGACCTCTGAGTTGTTGCATCATTTAAGTTTCGCTCGTGCAGTCTGCGATTTTATACAAATATATTTACTGTTTTTGTTGTGGTGTGTTAAATGATAGATCGCGCACATGTAACCATTTAAAGCGTAAAAAGTGCGCATGTGCAACTAGTTTTTACATCCCACAAGCAAAGAAGCAAATATTTTAGCTTAAATTCGCTGATTGCAAGTAGGGCAGGCGCGTCCACTTTTAAGTGGAAACTGAATCATGGCATCACAAACTAATACCATGACATGTCGGGAAATAGACCTTTCCGGTAATTACGTCACGACTAACACTGTTTTCAACTTAGGACCACCTTAAATGGAATAGATTTCAGGTTTGTTTCTCACGGGCTATGGTATTAGTAAGAGAAACAGAACATCCTTCGTCAACACACGCATGATTGAAAAATATTTTTGGATTTTGACCAATAAATGTGGAAATAAGCTTAAACACGAAAACGAGGCAGAGGGACCATGGCCCCTCAGCCTCGTTTTCGTGTTTAAGCTTATTTCCACATTTAATAGTCGAAATCCAAAATTCTTGAATCCAAAATCCAATTCACCATTGTCTATTTCAGGTTGGTCTTCACATGGGACTCATGTCCTGTTGACCATACCTTCAATCATTGTTATAATTTTTTGTATGATTGTAAAGTTAATAAATTGTCCCTCACCCTCGGAAGGTTTGTGGACATCGGCTTTCGGGCACATATAATCGCTAATTTCCCTCATATCATGGTATTACTTATAATTAGTCGTCATTTTTCTATTCCGTGCACTGCTATAGTGTCTGTAAAATATAGAAAGCTTCGATAGATGACTGCATTAACTAAAGTAATTGCGGCTGTTAACTCAAAGCCAGCTCATAATATTCTTTCTTTTACTTTAAGGAATGGGACTCATGAAAGCGTTTAATCTAAATACAGTACATTCAGTAACATCAGCAAAAACAGTGGTGGAAATTCACGGTAGAAGGGGGAGGACAAATCCGCAATTTACACTCAAACTTCGGACAATCGGGTGGCTGTTTTCGCAGGCTATATTTTTGCACTCAAGTTTGGTTGTTTCTTAGCCACTTTCAAGTGAAAATTTCCGACAAATTATCCATTTTACGTAAGGCAATTGTCCCCTAAGGGAATTCCCCTGTCCAAACATTTGGACAAAACGTAAACATTCCACTAGTGTTAATATTTATCTTCTCATACCTTGTGTCTGTGCTGTTTTTACAGAACATCGGAATTTATCATACACAGTCGAACAATCTTCTTTCTCATCCTCCACCACTTTCTCTACAGTTACACTCGTAAGTAATTTATAGAACTCCAAAACTTCTTGTTGCTTCTCAGTGGTCCGCTGAAATATAAAATAACACTTTATAGATATCTAAAACCAGATGTGTCAAACTTAAATTTAATACGGGACCTGTTTACATTGTCCCGCTTGGCCTGAACCAGATGGGATGACTTTTATATGTATTGAAGTAAGTCAGGGTTCGTAATTCAGCAAAGTTGCATTCGTTTTCATAGTTTAGACTACCCTAGATCATGGGACCATGGATTGTAAAATAACTGGATAGGAAACTTCCTGACGTCATTGACTGCATCCTTGTTGAAAAACGTGACGTCACGCGTATTGCGAATGTTATCAAAGTTCTCGGCATTTTTGTTGTTTTGCTATATTTTCCACTTTAAAAGGGTGATATTGAAGCATAAACTGGTCTAATTGTTTTAAAAACATGCCTAAGCCACGACAAAGTATTCAAGGTAAATATTTTTCGTCTTTGTTTTGTATTTTTTTACATTTGTAGCTACGAAATTGGCGTCACAAATTTTAACGAAATTTGCGATGTATTTTTCACTGTTTAGTGCTTGAAATATTTACTAAAATTGACTGGGAATACATAGAGTTTTCATCGTAAAATGGCGTGGTTATATTTATTTGCTCTTTGACTAAAATGTTTAGAATACTTAATGAACCAGGCGGAAATCGTAATCTTAGGATAAATATTAATGCCCAGCATAAAACACGTAAAAGAGCCATAACAAAAATATAATTTAAAATATTTATTTGAAAGCTAACGTTTCGTCTTTAACTTAAGACATCTTCAGAGCAATGACATACAAAGCGGAAAACACGGAAATATGAATAAATTACAACTATTTACAAGATATTATATTACAAAAGTAGAAAGAGGAATGGATCAGAGTAGAAGTAGAGGGACCGAGCTGCCCTGTAAGTTGAGAGAGGGTTTGAGTTTGTTAATGAGAAGACTTTCTCGAATGAGGAGTTCGTCTGGAGAAGAGCAACAAGAAATAATCTTAAAATCATTAAGAGAGGCGGAGTGACCAGTGCTATCAAGATGGGAAAGGATACTAGACATGGTCGGATTGCTGCTTTTACTGCCTGTTAGAGGAGAAACACCCAAATGTTCAGAAACTCGTGTGTGCAAGTGACGGACCGTTTGGCCCAAATACGTTGCGGAACAGCAACGACACGTGAAGGAATACACAACACAAGATCTTAAAGCGTTAGGAATTTTGTCCTTAAAGGTGAAGAGTTGAGACAAACGTAAAGTTGGACGAAAAACGAATCTAATATTAAGATGGGGAAAGGCCGAGGAACAAAGACGGGAGATTTGGGTGCGAATTTGAAGAGAGTGAGCGCCAGTATATGGAAGAGAGAAATATAGAACTTTCTTAGGAGCAGAATGAACAGCTGGTTTGGGTTGAGACACATTTTCTAAAAATGTTCGTACGCAGCGATCAAAAAGACGAGTTGGATAACAATTCTTATTAAGAATCTGGCGGTATAGTTCTAACTGAGCATGAAAGTTCTCATAATTGGAGCAAAGACTAAAGAAACGATGAATAAGAGAAGAAACTAAGCTACGTTTATATTGAAAAGGAATAAAGCTACGGAAGTTGGTAAACAGACCTGTGAAGGTGGGCTTTCGATAGATAGAAGTTTCGAAAACACCATTCTTCCGAGAAATGCTGATATCAAGAAAGGGAAGTGTGGAACTAGATTCAACTTCACTAGTGAATTTAATATTAGGATGCTGGCGATTTAAATAAGAGAGAAATTGAGGTATATGATCAGCAGACTGGAAAATCAAGAAACAGTCATCAACATAGCGGCGGTACAATAATGGCTTAAAGTTGACAGGACAGTTATTTAACCAGTTAGACTAATGAAAAGACAGGAATATATTGGCGAATAACGGACCTAAGGGTGACCCCATAGCAACGCCGTCAATCTGTTGAAACAGAACCCCATTAAACAAAAAGGAGCAGTTTTTCACAGCAAGACCAAGAAGTTTCTTAAATTCCAATTGAGTCAAACCATGAAAGGGAACAGCATTAGAGAATAAGCGGTTTGAAATTATGTCAATGGTTTCATCTAGAGGAATGTTGGTAAATAAGGAAGTCACATCAAAGCTTGCCATGACAACGTTGTTGGAATCGAGATTGAGGCTGAGTAATTCCTGGACAAAGGAGAAAGAATCCTTAACCATATAAGCACCTGACGAAATGGGATTGAGGAGAGGAATAAAAAATTTAGCGATTTTATAGGAATAATTGTTTATACAAGAAAGAATAGGTCTAAGTGGGATATTGTCCTTGTGGATTTTAGGTAGTCCATATAAAATTCCTATCCGAGAACCAGTCGGATATAGTTTTTCGTAGGTTGCTTGCGTGATTGATTCTGATTTCTTTAACGTCGACAGGAACCTCTTGACTTTGTTCTCGCGATGTAACGTCAGTTTTACCGGGTCTTCGTC